ATAAAAAATGTTCATTGTGGCAAACAAAATAATAATTTGATCTAAGAACGAGTTTTTTTTCTTCCCAATTTGTAAAAAATCCTTATGCGAGAAAAAAAAAGAATATTATTTTCGAAACCTGAGTAGCTGAAGTATTGAATTATTAGCTGAATCTGTTATTGTTTGTTTGTTTGTAGTTTAAACAGAAAGCTACTCAATGGGCTATCTGTGCTCTGCCCACCATGGGTATCGAAACCCGGATTCTAGCGTTGTAAGTCTGCAGTCATACCGCTGTGCCACTGGGGGGGCAATCTGTTATTAAAACCAAAACAACTTTTATGAAGTTTAAATTCACAGGCTTGTGCAATCAAAACTGTATAAATATTGGTTATGGTTAGTTCATGTAAATTTGCAAAATAAACAAGTTTTGCTTTTGACTATCATTTCTCTCCTGGCATAAAATAGTTGATACAGTTAATAACACTCTAATATTACTATCTAATTTTGTTGTTATTTTTACAAAATAGAACAAAATGGCTAACTACAATTCGGTAGTCTATTAAACTTTTCTTTCCAGCTGTGACACACAAGTTCTTGATGTTGATATTAGGACGAAACATTTTGGAAAGAGTAAGAATCAATTTCGTGTCTTAAATACACAAGAGAGAAAATGTTTATGGAATGCAAAAGGTCAAAGTTACTGTTCAAATTCTTTTATTATAGCTAGACTAGACAATATACAAATCTAAGATGATAAAATTTAGTATACAAGGGTAATTTATTTTTATCTTCCAGAAAAATATTACTTTTAAATATACTACACCAATGACGATATCAAATGCTTTCCTGTTAGGTATACTGTTGGACTGGATCAAAACTGCAGTTGAATGTCATTTTTCGTTTCAACAATAATATGTTGTACTTAACAGAGTTGATTTGTAAGCTTCTGGAATTTGTGTCGAATGGGAAACAACCAGATGACAACAAAGTTGATGTAATCGAGCAATTCCATGTGAATAAAAAAAAATGTACGATTTCACTGCTGAATTACTTTTTAAGATTTATTTCATTTAATTCACTCACTTTTATTGCAAGCTTTGCTTGTCCAGCCTGGTTCACATATACACTTTCCAGTTTCATGCTGACACGTAGAGTTATTTTCACAGTAACAAAACTTTTTACAATCTGGACCCCAGAGTTTTCTTTCACACTGACTGTAACACAGGAAGCCTGTAGAATAATAATAAAAACTAATAAGTGCAATAATAATAATAGTAACCTTAAAAGAAAATAAACAATTCACTGTAAAAGCTTATTCTTACAGATGGTAATTACATTCCACCAGTATAACCAAATTTAACATCCACAATACAGTGGTGTAGGAAGGAGTTGTAGAGTGGGAGTGCTTAACTAGACATGCAGATTTTACAACGAGAGACTGAAAGTATAAGGAGCTGCTAAAACCAGCTGCCAAAGGCAGCTTAATCTTAGGGGTCAAGGGACTCCTCCTCCCACAAAATTAATATAATAATATAATTTACAGTTGCTATAAAAGTCAAATATGTAAAGTGGGAGTGCTTTAGCACCCCCGGTTCTGATACCTCTGTCAGGAGCATCGATCTTGTAGAAAAACATTAAATAGGATGATGAACAAAATTTGGATTAAATACAAGGGTTAAGCCTAGGTAATGTTATTTTTTTTGAAATGTGCATGAAAGGTTGTTTTTAATGTAAGTCAAAATTTAAAATAACCAATTATGTGATTAAACCTCTGCAATACCATTTTTAATCTACAAGTTATAGGTTTTAAAAACATTTGAGGTGGTTGGCAGAGCCTCTTTTTATTAATTTTCACTCAGATGTTGTCTTAATCTGAAAGTATCTAAATGAAAAATGATCATGCTTTAGCCAGCATAGCTTATGTAAAGGATTAAACCACTTCTATATATAACTCAAGTCTTTTTTTTTCAATTTTAGTTGAGCTTCTAGTCTTTAATTATGTTGATACTGGAGCAAGTACACTCCTGTATTTTACTTTACCAACTGTCTTTCATAGATTTTTCTTCCCTAGCCAACCAGTTTTATTGTTTGTAGTTAAGCACAAAGCTGCACAAAGGGCAGTCAACATCAGAATTTAATAAATAAGAATAATCAAGGTTTAGTTGAAACAATATTCAAAACTATGACAGTACCCTGTAAATGCATAATGCTGAGAGTTGATTATCCTGTACAAAAATGATTTCAAAGCCACATTACAGTTCATATAACCGTGTCCAGTCATGCTGTAACTGACAACCATGCATCGAGATAATTGTCCAGCAGCATAATTTCCATTATAAAGGCTCCTTCATACAAGTTATATGTCCAAGTCCTGCCACTCCTTTCTGCAGATCTTCCATAATCCATCAGCATAGAAGGACAATGGTTTCCTAGTGCCTGTTTCAACAGTTCAATCATATAGAAATTTACAGCTGATGGATCCAACGACTTTACTGGTAGGAGCTGGCTGGAGCCTTATCTTGGTGAAGCCATATCCTGCTGAACTAATGTCTAGATAGATATTCTTCTTGATTATGTTGTGTATTGTTGTTTGGGATGCATGGATGACTTTTGCCATTGATTTTTGTGTTCACTAATTCTCACCTATTACAAGATGCTGCACTTTGATTACCACAGCTGGGGCACAACGTTTTGCAAGTCTCTTTCTGTATGATCCTGGTGCCCCAAGTTAATTCATATTACTTTGTTTCCAATGACATTAATTACAAAGGATAGCCCCCCCCCCCCATCTTTGAAATTTTAAATCTTCAACCTGGACACATCTTTATGACCAGAGTGTAAGAATATTTTGCTTCAGAAAGAGCTGTTATACATGCTTCCCAAAAGCAATCAACTTTAGATGGCATCAGACTCTGAAATGCCAAACAATGTCAAAATGTAGTTCTAATAGATGCCAATCCAGTGCAACGTTATATAGGCTGTGGTTGTCATGTAACTTGCTGATATACATATTCAAAAATATTGTAATATAAAGTACTGAACCTATAGTAGCTTTGGTGTTATACAACTTGAAACATTACAGAAACTGAATTTCTCACCTTTCCAATTTTTGGAGCATCTACATTGTCCTGTTTTGTAGTCACAATCTAAGGAGTGACTCCAATCACACTTACAATCATAACTACAGTTGAGACCAAAATGTCCATCCTGAAAAACAAAAGTAGGGGAAAAAAATATAAAACCATGATGCTTTAAGTTTTGGGACTTAAATGAATACAAGCTAAGTACATGAAAAAATACCACACAGTAAAAATTGGCTAACTGGATTACTCAGATATCTAGTTGAATTTAATTAATAAAAGTAATATGCCATTTAAACTACAATTATTTATTACTGCAATATATCTCCGTTTTTACAATAATAAATAATTGTGGTTTAATTGGTGTATTAATTTTATTAAAACTGCCTACTTAAAACAATATTTATTACTATTATGTTGTGTTTATCAGAGACAAAAAGCAGTATTATTAAGTTATACCTTATGTTTTTAGTAGTATGAAACAACAGGGTTTCACAAGGTTATTTAGTAATTTTTGGGTAAAATGGATTAGCAAGTTATGGTGTATTTATAGAAATACAGAAAATTAAATTAAAAGAAGATTATATATTATGCTTATAGTAGTAAAGAACAGCGGATGATGTATGTGGTACGTTTTAATTTGATTTATGTTAAAAGTATATCATACTTGTTCACTTAAAAAATATGCATATTACTTGAGCAAATTAAGGAATTTCATTATTGGATTAAGTAACAAAAATGTACAACCAACCTGACATGTCTCATCACAAAATAAACCCATGTATCCTGGCTTACATGTGCAAGTTCCTGTTACAGGGTCACAACTTGCATCGTTCATACACTTACAGGGTTGTCTACACTGATCGCCAAATACTCCTCGGGGACAAGGCATATCACAGTGAACTCCATGAAATCCTGTGATTATGATTTAAGGTATAGTTTAATTCATGAAATAAAGTTCTGTGTAGAAAAATAGAGATTTTTCTTGTAGCAATTAATACTTTTAATTAATATTTTTTTCACTTAAATTGGTTTCATAACCCATACAAATACCAAAAATTAAATAAACAAAGTAACAATTCAACTGAAGTAGTTTTAAATAAATTTTAAGCTTTAATTAGGCTTAAAAAAAACTTTTTCTTCTTACAATAAATGTAAGAGAGGTACAGTCATTACAATAAAAATAAAATGAAAGATACATCCAGAAAATATTACCTGGAGGGCATCTACACTTTCCAGTAATATGAGAGCAAATTCCACCATTGCTGCAAGAACAATTCTGAGAACATCCTAATCCAAACCGTCCATCACTGCACTGAAGCTCGCACCTAAAAAGTAACAGGCGATTTCTTTAGAAGATTCAACATTTAAATCATAACACACAAAATAATTAAAATCAATTTTACTCAGTTCTATATGCATAGTTTGTTTCATACTGAAACCTTAAAATACCCCTCGATAGTTCAAACAAAATAAAATATCACACACCAGTCACGATTTCTTAAAACTAAACAAAAGGGCTAAACAGTTGAAAATCAAGTATTAAAATAGATGAATAAATGTTATAAAATTAATGTTTTATAAGAAAAGTACAATCTTACTTGACTCCAGTGTAACCTGGTTCACAAATACATGTGCCATTAATGGGATCACACTGGGCTCCATTTTGACAACTGCAATGTTCTGAGCAATATTTTCCATACATCAATGGCATACATGGTCGAGAGCAAGTATTCCCATCCCAACCAGGTTTACACTCACACTTACCAGTCCTGGGATGACAACTGAGATAAAAGAAAATCACGAAAGATTGATATCCAATCACAAAATAACAATCTTAACAATACAATAATTCTTATGTCTCTTACAGTTTCAACACTGCAGACTGAGATATGTTTTATACAAAATATTAAAGTTTTCATTAACAAAAAATAGTTGAACACAGTAAAGACTCAATATTTATTAAGTGAATGACTTAAATTAGCATCTATAAATTTGCCTTTCAGAAAAACTTGAACATTAAACAATTTGTTAACTATCAACAAGTGTCATCTGATGAAAAAATATACAACTTTATTATCACATAAAATCTATTTGTTACTTCTTTGGAAACACTTCATGAATGATTATTAAAAAACAAAACTGCAACCTACCTAAGCATATTTTCTTTTTGACACTGGCATATACCTTCACAGTTATTTCCATAAAAACCATCAGGACATGCTATAGAGGGAACAATAATTATGTTTTATTTATCTAAAACTGGAAATAGCTTTTAAAATTTGAGTACACAACTTCCATATTTGTTAAAATGTACTTCAAAATTAATGGTAGTGGAAAAAAATAAAACAATGAGTTTCCAAATGTGTAGAAAATGTGAAAATTTCATGTAATTTCACACTTCTTTGAGCTATGAAAAAATAACAGTAACTATCCACCAATTTTTCATCCCCAGAAGCAGCAGGGTCAAAGAAATATATTTCAATTGAAACTAATGAGGTTTAAAAGCCTGTGATCTTTCTTTGTTTTGTTTGCTCAACATCCATCATAACTGGTTGGAGATTATACTAATTTTACTTTGAGAAATAAGAGAAACTGTTGTTAAACTGAAAGCAAAACATTAAATAAATATGAAGTGAGTCCTACTGTACTCTCCTATACCTTGTGTACCTTCATGTTCTCATGGTCTGTTGGATGTGGGGGCATTATAATGTGACAGTCGATCCCACTATTCATTGGTAAAAGAGTAGCCCAAGAGTTTGCAGTGACTAACCGCCTTCCCTCTAGTCTATCACTGCTAAATTAGGGACGGCTAGCACAAATGACCCTTGAGTAGCTTTGTGCGAAATTTAAAACAAACCAAACTTTTGTGTTCTAGTGAAGCATAGTTAAGTGATAGAGCTTAATAATGGTATCTGATTTATTACTGATTAATAATAATATAATACCGTGGCATTTTTCTAGCTAAATATTACTTTTTCAACTGAAAAAACTCACTATCACCTGAAATAATGAGCTTATTCTTTAATTATAAACAATCAAGAAATAAGTTTTTTCTAGTGAGAACTTTGCACTTATCATACTAGAAATCCTTTATTTACAGAAGAATAAAAGAAGATTTGTATTTATAAAAACTAAATACTGCACTATATAAGGGTTAGTAAATAAAAACAACTAAATATTGCAACCTAGAATTAAATATTAATAAAATAAAAACTAGACTGACAATTTTTTGGAGAAGTATTATCTGAAGTTATTAAAGGAAAAGAGCAACAAATTAACGGGGCTCAATTTGATCAAGACTTGATTATAAAAAGTATTCACTTAAATCATAATATAACAAGCTTAACAGTGTACAAAGACAAGAGTGTCAAAGCATGATCACTTTCAGTGTAATAATATGTCAAAATAACACTCATATAAATGGCTGATTTTAACAGCATTTTTATTAAAGCTCTAGATGTTGTAACCCTGCCAGCCTGATGAGCTTAGTTATACAGCAGAAATGGTTAATTACTTGTGGCATACAAGAGATCGTGTATGAAATGCATTTCTATACTCTGGCTAGTTCAGAATGAACTATTGTAAATGTTTCTTTTTCATTCAGTTTTATTGTGATGTTTCATAAACAAATATTTATCTTTACAAGTGTTTAATTAATTTCTATACTAACCTCTTTGATCACATCGAGGACCAGTGAACCCTGGTTGACAAACACAAACACCTGTGGACACATTACAAGTAGCACCATTTTCACAGTCACACACCTATTATACAGCAGCATAACTTTGTTAAATCTTCCATGTCACAAGGTTACAATTATTGAGAAAACCAATATTAAAAAGAAAACAAATATACTTAAGAAGCCAAACCCATTTTCCTTAAATTATCTTCAAGTAGAATAAACCTCTGAAACTGTACTTTTTACAGAATGGTTACAAAGACCAATAGAGGTATAAAAAGCATTACGATAGATTTCTGTTACAAATTGAAACAAACATATAGTTGATAAAAATTTAAATTTTATAACCATTACTAGCATCAATATTAATAAATAGTGATTTTAAAATAATAAAACAATTATACTGGAAGAAAAAGACATTTACAACATTTTGCCAAGTTTACTTGTCATCGTCATGTATTTTTAGAAAATTTGTTTATTTAAAATGGGATTTTAAATGTTGAATTTCTGAATTCAGAATGTTCCTAATATTTTAGGAATTATAAATGGTTGTAGCATGAGAAATTATAGTTTTTATAATGCCTATATTTTTATTTACCAAAGGTATTTCAGTTGCTTTTTGATTGGTTCACTTGAAGTTTTATAATTTTCAAATATAATGCTATAACACTCAATCGTACATTTAAACAAATTTTCTAAAATTATCATTAAAAACACAATTATTAACACTCATAAACAGTATTAATGTGATGTCTGAGATAAACTCGTGCAAGAACATCAATACTTGCTCTTCAACTTACATTCATGATCGTTTTCATGCTCTAAAAAGATTATGGTTTCATCTATGTAAAACACACAAAAATAGGCTGTGTTCTATCAAACAGGTTCCAATACTAACATATTAGTAATGTTCTATACAAATACAAATGACAGGACTGTACATCCAGCTACATAGATGAAATAGAGAGAAAACTTAATGCCTGCATAAGTGAACACAGTTATGTGTTCAACCGCAAAAGAAAAATCAAGGAAGCCTTATTAGTATAAGGAATAAAGAAAGAAACCTCTGTAAACAAATATCTTGGTTCCTCACTATATTTATTCACCACTGGTATTTCAACTGCCTTATGATTGGTTATCTTACACTGTTGTATTTTCATATTCAATTCTATAACACTCACTTGCATCCTGTAACTGCTGGTGATAAACAAACTTGTTGAAACATTGTAATTTTTCATTTTATAAGTTTATTTATTTACTTTACTAAGAGATTCCCTATTTTTATAAATAGTAATTTACATGATTACATTACATTTCTTTTTATCATACATGGTTACAAATTTGTGCATTCTACTACTAAAGGCCTAAAGAAGAAGCAAGCCCACCTTGCAATGCAATTACCAAGTGCTAAAACATGTACACTCTACAATGTTTTACAAGCTTAGTTTGGAGTTAGTAATAAAAAATCAATTTATAAACAATTAAAATTTCAACAGTGTGTGTGTTAACAATAATTGTTTTTTTTTCTTCATGAAATTAATAGTCAAGATATTTATGACAAGACTGGGAAGATGAGGAAAAAAAATACCTTTGAGCAGTCAGTTCCAAATGTTCCTAGAGGGCACTGATCTTGACAGTATACCCCTCTATATCCTGGTGCACATAAACACCCTCCTGTTAGGTGGTGACAAGAACCCCCATTGTAACATAAACACTTCTCGGTACAGTTGTTGCCATAAAACCCAACTGGACAATGATTAGCACATACATCTCCCTGGAAGATAAATCATAAGACTAGTCAGATGGATGGACAGACAGACAAAGAAAAATAAACAACTGGTTATGTAAATAGACAGATTAACAGACTATCATTGTGTTAACACTTTCACTGTTCTTTCAAAGTCACTTTTAGGTGATTTTCTTATTTAATTGGAACTGCAGTGAAGTTTATATTAATGAAACACTAAATATGTAATTAAACATTGCACTTAAAACATTTCCTTCCAAAACAATGCAATTATATTGTTCCTTCATCACGTTACCTTTACTGATTGAAGACTGTTTATAATTTTCTCTTGCTCCTTTTGTTTTTATGAAATCCATATAATGATTTAAGAGTTATTACCATCAATCAAGATATTGATATGTTTCATCATATTAACTAATAAGCATACAATTTTGTAGTGGCAATTATTATATTTAATACAAACATATATTTATAGGATTTCATTAAGAAACCTTTGATTACATAGGAAGTTTTTACTTATTACTGTCCTATGAGGTGACAAAACAAGAACTTTTGTTAGGCCAATTAAATGTTATAAATATTTTCTGGAGTGACACTACTTTTTTTAAGTATAAAATACATATAATTAGCTCTTAACTCTTAGAAGTGTGAAGATTAAGAAAAAATAAAAATAAATGCACATTAGTGAATAATGGTTGTGAAAAACCATAATGACTTAATGAAATTTGTATTAAAGTAAGCAATGCCACAATATCCGACCAGACTGGAAGCTATTAAGTAAGCAATGCAACAATTTTTGACCAGACTGGAAGCTATTAAGTAAGCAATGCAACAATTTTTGACCAGACTGGAAGCTATTAAATAAGCAATGCAACAATTTTTGACAAGACTGGAAGCTATTAAGTAAGCAATGCAACAATTTTCGACCAGACTGGAAGCTATTAAGTAAGCAATGCAACAATTTTCGACCAGACTGGAAGCTATTAAGTAAGCAATGCAACAATTTTCGACCAGACTGGAAGCTATTAAGTAAGCAATGCCACAATTTTCGACCAGACTGGAAGCTATTAAGTAAGCAATGCAACAATTTTCGACCAGACTGGAAGCTATTAAGTAAGCAATGCCACAATTTTCGACCAGACTGGAAGCTATTAAGTAAGCAGTGCAACAATTTTTGATCAGACTGGAAGCTATTAAGTAAGTAGTGTCAAAATTTCCAACCAGAAGGGAAGGTATGAAGCAAGCAGTGCTCAATGGCATAATTTTGGTTTCAAAAGTAGGGGAGGGGGACCAATTTTTGTAGCTAGGGAATATATTCATGTATTCTAGCAAAAACATTTATTCTATCCTTGAAAAAAGTGTGAGGTACATGCCCCCACATATTTTGTGAAAATTATGCCTAAGGCAATGCCACATTTTTCCAACAGATTGAAAGGCATTAAAGTAAGCAGTGCCACATTTTTCAACCAGACTGGAAGCTAGTAAGTAAGCTGTACCACAATTTTCAACCAGTATTGAACCATTTACCAACGGATATCTTCAATTGAAATATTTCTTTTTTGCAATAATCCTATCCTGTCCATATTTTCAAACTTAGACACTTGAAATATTATGAAGACTAACCAACAAAACTTTTTAGCATGATTAAGCAAGAAAAGATGTATATAGAATAAACATTTAACAAACACCACTGCTTAATTCTCTACTATCACATCATGATAGTGTATGTAGTCATTTTAACAAAAGAAGTGTGACATCCATGTACTTGTATTACTCATACAAATGAAGAAGCATTTCATTGATGTTTTGGTCATATTTTCAAGTCACTTTATTCACATTAGAAACTTCTGAGTTTCACCATAAAGAAGTGTTCCTATTCCACTTTTAAGCTAGCTTTTTATAATGTTTCTTTTTTATCTATTTCATTCAACTAAACTTCCATTGAAAACACAGAGTCTTACTTTACAGCCATTGTACTGACAACATATCCAGTAGCTCTCTTTTTTCAGATTTTGTTTTTTTCACAAAATAAAAGGCTCTCCATGCATAAAGTATAAAACCTATACCTGCTGTGATGTATCATATATACCTACAAGAAAAACATTGTAAAATAAAGATTGAAAAGCTAAAAGTGTTTGAATGATGTAAGAAGATTATAACAATAATATTACTGAAAAGAGTGGTTTTGTTGCAGTCTATCATGCATGAAATTTATAGTGAATTAGTTTTGGTAGATAAATTTAAAAAAACAATTAGAATTTTAACTTATATGGGTAGCTCTGTACACTTTGGTTGACTCAAATATAGAATTTTATACTTGTCACTTTCCAAGAGTGACTACAACATAAGTACTGTGAGATGTGTTTACTTTATGTTTGTTTGTTTGTTTTGGAATTTCACGCAAAG